CGTGAGGGAGGCGGCGGAGGGGCTGTAACGGTCCCGGGCGGCCGCCGATGTCCGGGAGCAGGTCGGGGCGAGGTGTGGCGCGGCGCCGTGTGCCTGCCGCCTCCCCTGCGGCCTTATTCCTCTGCGGAGGTCAGCGGGATGGGGTGGGAGGGACGACGACGACGACGAGGCCGCAAGTGAGCTTCTTGGGGGGAGCGTAAGTCTTGGCCGGTAAGTACTTGCTGAGGGGAAGAACACGGATGCTGACCCTGCTCGGTGTTGCTCTCTCCAGCCATGGCATCTTGGGAGGCTTCCGAAGCATCCTTCTTCAGCCTGAGTGGTGTAAGAGAGCGGATGCGGGAGAAGAAAATCGGTGCCTTGAGGACTGCGAAGTTGAATGCCTCGCTTGCATCAAAAATCAAAAAGAAAAACATTAGTGAGTGTATTTTACCTTGCAGCATGTGCAGAGGCTGGCAGCTAATAATTGTGCCGTTGGTTGTGACCGTGGTGGTGGGTGGCTGTCTCTTATGCAGAGCTTGCATTTAACAGCTGCTTCTCCACCTGTGGGTTTCTAGTGAATTCAGTACCCTGCACATGAGTGTCAGCTTCTGCTTGAGGTGCCCAAAGGTGTCTGAGGTATCTGTGAGTGGCAGTTTTAAGGAAGAGCCTTTGGAGCAGCAGCTGGGGGTGTGACAGGCTGCTTGGCAGCAGCATCTCAGATGGCATGAGATAGCTGTGCCTGGGTTATTGAGTCCTCAGGATCCAAACAGCAAAAATAAGAGGTGTGGAAAGTATTCTAGTGTATATGCAATCCTGTGCAGAGGGTAGCCCAACTGTGATTTGTTTTTATGGGGGAAATAATACAACAATACTGCATGGGATAATTTGGACTACCTTGAAAAAGTTAGCTGGTTTTGTTACTTTTATTTATTTGTTTTGAAATTGGGAAACATGGATTTAAATCTGCTCAGGGGCTACTACAGAGGAAAGCAGGTTTTTATCCTCGTTTTGGATGGAGATGAGGACTCAGAGCTATAGGTAAACTTGTTCAAAGCCAGAAGTATATATTTCTAAACTCAGCACCTGAATCATGCCATTGTTCATTAAGAATTGAAGCAGTAGCTTGCTGACTGAGGGTGAACCACTTAACAATGGAGAGCGTGTCTGTCTGAAGTGTTGCGGGTTGTTAAGGAAGCTTTTTCCTGCTGTTCTCTGGAGACTTCTATTGATGGAAGGAATTATACTGCTGACTTTGTGTGTGGGTTATTGAGTTGTGGAGATCTGAGCCTGAGGGAAGCTATTCTGGGAAGAGGGAGAATGATGATGGGAAGAGGCATGGTTGAGAACTTGGATGCTAATTCTGTGTGATATTTCTCTATCACTTACAGACAACTCCTCCACTATTAAAGTCTCCCTAAAGCACAACAATAAAGCACTGGCCCTGGCCCTCAATGCAGAGAAAGCCAATGCACAGCGTCTCACCCAGGAGAAGACCATCTTGCAGAAGGAGGTAGAGCAGTGCCACTTCCAGAACGCTGTGCTGCGGCACAAGCTCTCCTTCCTGGTATGGCACTAACAGTGTTGCTGGCATGGGGAGGGGTGGTGGGCAAGGTATGCAGCGCTAGTGTCCCAACCTTGGGAGGAGAGAGCTGTCACTGATTGTCTATACTCTTGGCATATGAAAAATGTCACCATTCATTTGCATACTTTCTTCCAAGCTGTGTTCTCCCCAGAACATGCCTTGCTCTGGCTACCAGCATCCTTGTTGGAATAGATGTTTTGATTTAATGTCTTCATGTTTTCTCTCTCTTTATTACCTCAACACAGAATAACATCTTGAAAGAATTTGAAAACCTTATGTCTGCAGTTAAGGTGGCCCGTCTCTCTGAGGTAAATCAGGGGAAATGTGAGCACACTGCTCTGGGAAGGGAGCTGTGTTTGTCTCTGTCTTTTGCTTTGTGTTGCCTGCTCTATTCAGTGTTTGACACTTCAGCTGTTTTATTTGCTTGCTTGAATTGTGCTGGCTGCATCCTTGTTTTGAGCTTGGTGTTAACGATTTCTGGGGTAACTGCTCCTGTAGGAAAGGCTACAGTTTTAACCTGCCTTCCTCTGGGTCATTGGCTGTATTGGCCAGTAGGCTCTTCTGCTGTGACAGGTTGTGACTTCTTTTCAATTTCTTTTTTTTAAGTGTTGCCATGGCAACTTGGGATAGCGAATAGGATACTTTCCGTACGATTTGTCTTGTGGGTGGGAAAATATTCCTGCTTCTTAGTCTCAGATTATCTGAACTAGTTTAACTTCATCCTTAAGCCTGTGGAGACAGAATCTTACTGTGCTGCAATTTATTCCATAATTTGCAATTTTAAATGGGAGAGGGTCATTGGCAGTATTTGACATACTTTCCAGGGTGAAACAATGCTGCTGCTGTTTCTGTGCAGGAGACTGCACAGGGGACTGGAAGCACTTTAAACCACCCTTCTATTTCTCTGTTTTCCAGTTTCATACAAGTTCTGCATCCTTACCCAATGGCCACATGAGCAGCATGACTGAAGATAGCTGGGCCAATGGTATTGCAGATGGTCAGCTTGTGAGGTAGGCCTTAAAATGTCAGATATAACCAAGCTTGTCCTGAATTGTCACCTCCATCCCTGGAAAGATGATGGAACAGCTTGTTCTGGGCATCATCTCAAAGCATCTGGAGGAAAAGAAGGCTATCAGAAGTAGTCAATGTGGATTCACCAAAGGAAGTTGTGTCTGACTAATCGGATAGCCTTCTACAATGGCACGACTGGATGGATAGATGAGGGGAGGGCGGTGGATGTTTTTTACTTTGATTTTGGCTAGGCTTTTGACACCGTCTCCCACATCATCCTTGTAGACAAGCTTAGAAAGTGTGGGTTAGATGAATGGACAGTGGGGTGGATTGAAAACTAGCTGACAGGTAGAGCTCAGAGGGTTGTAATCAGTGGCACAGACTCTAGTTGGAGGTCTGTAACAAGTGGTCAGTACTGGGTCCAGTCCTGTTCAATATATTCATCAATGACCTGGATGAAGGGATAGAGTGTACCATCAGCAAGTTTGCTGATGACACAAAACTGGGAGGGGTGGCTGACACACCGGAAGGCTGCGCTGCTATTCAGCGTGACTTGGACAGGCTGGAGAGTTGGGCAGAGAGAAACCTTATGAAATTCAACAAAGGCAAGTGTAGGGTACTGCGCCTGGGGAGGAATAACCCCATGCATCAGTACAGGTTAAGGGCTGGCCTCCTGGAGAGCAGCTCTGTGGAAAGGGACCTGGAGGCCCAAGAAAGCCAATGGCATCCTGGGGTGTATCACGAAGAGAGTGGCAAGCAGGTCAAGGGAGGTTTTCCTTCCACTCTACTCTGCCCTGGTGACGCCTCACGTGGAGTACTGCGTCCAGTTCTGGGCTCTCTGGTTCAAGAAGGGAACTGCTGGAGAGGGTCCAGCAAAGGGCTACAAAGATGATTGGGGACTGGAACATCTTTCTTATGAGGAAAGGCTGAGGGACTTGGGTCTTTTTAGTCTGGAGAAGAGAAGACTGAGGGGGGATCTTATCAATACTTATTAATACTTAAAGGGAGGGTGCCAGGAGGAGGGGACCAGTCTTTTTTCAGTGGTGCCCAGTGGTAGGACAAGAGGTAATGGACACAAACTTGAACATGGGAAGTTCCATCTAAACATGAGGAGGAACCTCTTTACTTTGAGGGTGGCAGAGCACTGGAACAGGCTGCCCAGAGAGGTGGTAGTCTTCCACTCTGGAGACATTCAAAACCCGCCTGGACGCCGTCCTGTACAACCTGCTGTAGGTGAACCTGCTCTGTCTGGGGGGTTTGACTAGATGATCTCCCGAGGTCCCTTCCAACCCCTATCATTCTGTGATTCTGTGCATTTCTGTATGCGAAACTTATGTTTTATGTGTGTGCCCTGTTGTCTGTTTTACGTGAGATGTCTTCTCTAAACCACCGCTGCTTGATGTTTTCCTTTACTCTGTGTCTTTCTGCTGCCACTTCTTGTTTTATTTGTCCTAGTGACAAGTCTATGCATAAACTGGTCCTTCTCCCTGCTTTGTTAGAAAGCACATTGCTTTTAGGTAGCTTTTCCTTTGTAGCTGGACACACTGCAAGATTTCCTTAAGTGAGTGCCTTAGCTGTCTGCTTTGATGTTTGTTACATATAAATGCTTAATAGACATCTGCTTGTATGATGTAAACTTGTGTTTTGGAAAGAAATTTGGAGCAGGATCTCTTAAAATGAATTTGAAGTTCTTTTCTGCTCTGTCTAGTCTCCCCTTTGAACACAGGGGAACCCCTGGGGCTGCTCACACACATACCTCCAAGCAGCTGCGTTGGTGTTCTACAGCAAGGTTATCCTGTGGTTGAAACCTGTGCACTGAAAAGCCTTACTTCCTTGTTGCCTTGGTGTATTTCTCTCCTGTTTCTGTGTCTGCAGTGGTGTGCTTTCCTTATGAGTTGTGCTTGCACAAAAATGGGAAATCTGTCCTGGCTGGGCAGTGTTCATTCTTTAGCACTTGAAGCCTGCGGAAATGTATTTCACCAAACTTTGATGGAGGTGAAAGCTGTAGCTACTCTGCTGGATTCCGTCACAGGTATGGAACATGCTCCATTTGCTGTTATTCCTTCTCACCAGGGCTGCAGGGATGCCAATGAGGGTGCCCATTCCCAAGCTGTGTGATGCAGGACAGCAAGGTGGCAGCTTCACAGCAGTACAGACATCCTCACTAGATCTTCAGAGACCTGCTTCTAATGAGCCCCTGGAAATTGTGCCTGTTGCCTCCAAAGACACTTTGCCACCACAACCTGCTGAGAAGCCTCAGTCCCACTGGGAGGAGAATGAGAAGAAGCCAACTAAAGCAATGGAAGTACAAGAGGCTTTTCTTGATTCTGACATCTTTGGAGGTAAATTTGCATCTTCTGCTTTTCTTCTCGTATGACTTCATGTGTCTGTGTTCAGAAATGAATGAATGCAGTGCCAGTTAGCTCCTAACCATCACTCCAGCAGCTCCTAATTACTGTTAGGAACTGCATGCTTCAGTGATGCTGATATTGCCAGAATTACATGTATCCTAGAATGGTATGTCTTGGTGGGAATATCTGGCATGTTTGCAATAGCTCAAGATCACTCATCAGGCTTTCTGAGTAATAGGCACTGAGCTTAGATAAAATTTTCAGCAACCTCTGAAGGTGCAGAATCTGACTAGATGCACATCTTCTGTTCCTTGTGGGTTTGCCCTGTAAATAGTAACTCATACAGATGCATTCCTAAATATTATGGCTGGTTAAGGGATCTTGCTGTGGGCTGCCTTTCTGTTCTGAGGGGAGCCAGCTGAGCAATCTGTTACACAGTAAGTTTGGGGAGCCCCTGTAGAGGCGAAATCATGCTTTTTCTATGCTCTGGATTTGTGGCAGCATGTGGGGCATGGTTTTTAGTGGTATGGGGAAAAATGGGATTTGCCTGCTGCATTTCTCAGTCTTAGGAATGAATTTTGTCTTTCCAACAGAGGCCTTGTGTACCACCCAACAAAATTCCAACAATTTTCCAGCATTTGCCTGTGAAAGTCACCCTCTTTCATGTGAGGGCAATGAGATGGCAAAACAGTTATTTGATCGTCTCTCACAAGGGCATGTTACTCAGAGGAGAAAACGTTCCACACTGTTTGCAACAAGCACTCCATCTTCTGGTGTGGATATCTTCCCATGTCTCAGTTCCACTCAGGCTGATCGGTGGAGTATCACAAAGGACGGCAGCAGCTCCAGCAAGAGCAACACACAGCCACAGCTGAAATCTCCCAGCTCTCTGGTTTCACCTACTCAAACCACTGTTATTCCTGGTAGAAAATCTTTGGGTAAAGAGATTTTCTGTGATCAGCCACAGGCTAAAGAAACTGGGTGTGGCGTTGAAACAGATCCCAGCTGTATCCAAGTCCCTGAGTTTGTTCCTATAAAGGTTAAAAGCAAAGGTAACTGTAAAACTGGTAAGAAAACAACTGTTAAAAAAGCGAGCACGGAGAAAAAGAAAACAAATGCAATTAGAAACAATGCAGAAAGCAGTCCTGATCTACTTCAAGGTGAAAAGAGTGCTCAAAATGCAAAGAAGCTTCTTCAGCTAAAAGTTGCAACCTGTTCTAGTGAGTCTGAAGTTTCTGAGGTGGGGAAGAAGGCTTGTGTGGGGGCTTTCAACAGGAAGAACAGAGGCTGTGATGTGGAGCAATGTTCCTGCTCTGCTGATGAAGTCCGAGATCTCAGAAAACCACATGTGGTGAATCCAGCACACCTGCACAGTCTTGAAAGTGGTGACTTGCTGCAGCAGGTTAAGAAGGAAGTTAATGTTGTGATCCAAAGCATGGAGAACTTGTCAAAACCCACAGTTCATAGCTTCTCAAGTCACAACATCCCCTCAGGTGATTCCAGTCTACAAGATTCACTTTTGAGGAAAGAGACCTCAAGTGCCCGTGCTTTGCAAGAGGACTCAAGTGTGAACACAAAGAGCATCAGACAGAAAATCAACAGAAAAACTAACATAATTAGGCAAATAGATGACTCTGATGAGGAGAATCTCCCAAACAGCGTGAAAATACCAGAGGCCAAAGCTGAAGAACAGCCTAAAAGAAGGCGGACAAGCAGGAAAAAGACTGTCAGGAAAAGCAGTTGTAGTGATCAGAGAAAGGAAGCTGATGTTTTCGGGCCATGTATAGATGTTCAAGGAATAGCTAAGGAGAGCACAAAGGATTTGCCAGGTAATCTTAAACGTAGCAGGAAAACTTACATTGTCTGTCCCTTGGATCTTGCAGAAAACATGGCATGTGTCCAGACAGATTTTGAAGGGGGTGAAATTGTACCTCCCAGGTCTATTCCTGGTAGCAAACCTAGCAAAATCCCCAGAGTTCAGAGGGCGGTAGCTGCTCAGAGCAGTAGAAAACAGACAGGAGGCCTTCAAGAAAAGGGACAAGCTAAAGTTGACAACAATGTGAATGCTTCAGAAAAAGAGGCTTATCCCAAACCAAAGCCTCAGAGGAAGAGGAACACCTCCAGTCCTCCAGAGACTGATTCCCTGGCCAGACAAAGTGATGGTGCCAAGGTGCTCATTGGCAGTTCAGCAGAACTTGCATCCAAGCAAACTGTCCTGACACACAAGTTTTCCTGCATTACAGATCTGCTGCCTGAGCCAGATGCCTTCCTGGAGGAGCAGATAGCTGAGATATCACTTACAAATAATCTTATGGACACTTCACACAGTCTTGAATCCTCCTCTGTGACTTGTTCTGTAGCTTTGCCTGTCAGCTCCGGGCTTACAGATGTACTGGTTTCCAAGAGCTTAAGTACTGGGGGCAACAGAATGCCAGAGAAATCCTCTGTTTGGCCAGAAAGCTCCGCGATACTGAAAGAAAAAACTGCAGAGGAAATACCTGGGGAAAGAAACCAGGCTGAGTCAAGTTCTCGCAGCACACCATCACAGGAACCTGGTAGGTGGTAGGCTGGGGAGGGAACCTGTATTTGGAGATATGTGCCAAAATCCATGCAATAAATGCTTGTATTTTTCTTCCTCTCCTCTCTTTTTTCAGAGTTAAAGGTCAGTGCCCAGTATACCATTCATACTTCCACTTGTGCTGGCCAGTCATTTCTGTGGCTGTGTTAGCTTCTAATTTATCAGCATTCTTATAAGAATTTCTGGTCACTTCTTCATGTGTAGATATTGGGAAAAGACTAGGAGCATGTGCTGTGAGTCCCATTTTACCACTCTTGCTATCTTCAGGGCGTGCCTGTCAATTTAGAAAATCAATTACTCAACCAGTTGAAAAGTATAATTTGATGCTGACCCTGCCTACTAAAGTCAGCATCATTAGGGCACAGAATATGATGATGGCAGCAGGCTTTTGGTCCAGAATGGTTAGCGCTGCAAGGATTCAGACTTTATACCTCTGGGTGGTATCTTCAGTGGAAATTCTTCAGGAGCTACCTGAATTCTCTTGGTTGTGTGGTGTGGTTTGTGGTTGTTTTTTTTGTTTGTTTGTTTTTTTAAAAGGATTTGGAGGGTGTATCCCTTGGCTGGTAATACAGTAGTTAAGCTGAGCCTTTTTGGGAGCTTACTGATATTGGATACTCTTTACAGAGAGTTGTTTTATGCAGTTTTCCCTTCCTGTAGTTGTTGACAAACAGGCCTGTTATAGCTAGAGTAGGCTGTACTTTGTAAAGAGGGAGAAACTTTGTTCTGCTGCCCTCCCCCTCTTGACCAACTTCACTTTGAAAGTTGCAGTAAACACTGGCAGGATCCCTGTCTTTCTGGAATTCTTGTAGGGTGCTTGGGTTCCATAAGCTTGCTTTTTCCTCCAGGCTGTAAGCTACTGGGCATTAGAACTATCAACTATCATTTTTGTATCATTTTTCTACTACATCAGGGACCAATGATATTAGTGACCTGTGTTTTTTTTCTGGTGAGGAACCTAATTTATTCATGAGCTGACTTTTGAGGAGCAGGTCTGGGATTGTTGGACAAAAAATGGTCTCCTGAGTTTAGAGGGAACATGATTGGATTCACAATTGTGCAGTGTTCAGAGAAACCTGGTAATGCAGCCCTCCTATATTTGGAAGCTGTATTTCTAAGGATATCTGGAAATTATTTGGAAACACTTTGATCAACTCACATGTGAATGTCGTCTTTTGCAGAGATCAGGCCACTACAGGACTTGACTAATGCGAGGACTTTGCCTTCCTCCAGCTTGGAAGAAGTGTCAGGGCGCTCATCCAGGCGGAGACAACATCCAGCCTGCTACGCAGAGCCAAAACTCAACAGGTTGGGCTTTAAACTATTCCTTCCCATGACTGTTCCTGTGCTGCGATCCCTGCTCTGCTCTTGTGTGCTCACTCTCAAGGGCTGCTCTCTCTCTCTCGCTTGTCTTTAAGTTCCTCTTAATGCTTTGTATTTCTGTGACCCTCTTCTTCTACCAGTGTGGTCAAGCCAGAATTCCATATTAGCACAGATGCATGGGCAAGCTTCTGGTAACAAGCTACCAAAGATGTTATTTCCCTCACTGAAAGCCCTAATTTCACTTGCTGCCTTCTGTGATATCTAAAGTTTTATACAACAACTGAGTAATTCTTTCACTTTAATTGGGTTTCAGTGAAGGAAATATGAGGTCTTGAGGAGGGTTCTCCCCTGTAAGCAGGCTATATCTATATTTGCTTTTTCTGGTAGATACAAGTACCTAAACAAGTAGCTGCATCTTTTCCCTAAGAAACTGTAAAGTTAGTATATCCAACAGCTACTGTAAAGAACCATTTAACTCCTAAAATGATGACTTAGTATTATGCAATAGCATAACAATGTGTTTTCCCTGAAAAGTGTCACAGTTTGAACTTTCTGTGAGGAGTTAGTTGTACTGAGTCAGAAGGTACTCTGTACTGGTACAGCTGTTCCTGTACTGAACAAGGAACAAACTGTACCACTCAGTCATCTTGTAGTGCAAGCATTTCAGTAAAGTCAAACTTTAGAGACTGAAATCATACACGTATTCAAGAAATACCTTGATGGTTCAACCTAACCCTTTTGGTTATGCAGCAAACTGAGGCAGGGCGACCCATTTACAAACATGGACTTCTTCCACTCCTCTCTCTGCAAAAGCAAAAAGAAGAAAGCTGCCAAAGCCAAAGAAAAGATCAAGAAGATCAAAGAAGAAAAAGAATGGCTTCCTGAAGGAAGTCCCAGTGCCAAGGCAGGCAAGCTAATAACAATGGGAAGAGACATGGAGCCAGAAGTAAAATAGTGGTTGAACTCCCCAAGCTCCTAGGGGCTTGTGCATCTTTGCTAGAATATCTCTAATATTTTGCATAGCTTATTTTTTATTTTAATTTTGAAGTCTAAATAAAGTCTTCTATGTGAACAGTATAAAAGCTTTGTGACATTTATTCCATGCCCTCCCCCTCTCTGTCTTTAAATGCTGGGGTCTTTGTCTACAAAGTCTTTGTGCACAAGTGCTGGTGGCTACACTGTTAAGTCAAACAAACAAAAAGTGTAAGATTTAAAAATGCCCCTTATATTTTTTCAGTTTCCTGAAAGGCAGTAAGCTTTCTCTGGTATTCTGTAACTCTGGAAGCTGGGTAGGAGCTAGTAAATAACAGGGAATTTGTCAGAGCTGCTGCTGTAGTGTGACCTGATTGACTGTGGCACAGTAATTTGAACTACTGATGTCAGAAGCTGGGCAGGAACATAGATCTCCAGATGTTCCCAATGCTTATTTCTGTTGCTTCTCTGGGTCAGACTTTTTCCAGCTGCATCTACATGCTTGTGCTAATAAGAGACTACTGTGTTTAGCCATATTGAAGGCATAGCGACAGCTGCTAGCAGTTGCAGAGCTGCATTTCAAACACACGCTTATCCCAAAACAAATGCTAATACCAGCTGATCTAGCCTAATGTTGGATTTCTACCCTAACTAACATACATAGCTAGTCAGCTGCAGGGTGAGAGCTTCTCTCACATACAGTCTTTGTTAAGTGGTGATATCTCAGTTTGAGCTGCTATGTCCCAAAATACAGTTTCAATGGAAGTGGTACCTTCAAGTTTAGTTCTTGTGCACTACCTGATGCTTACCACCACACTACAGATGACATTTTGCCACGGGGCAGAACAAACTAAAAAAATCTACTGTAAGAAGGGAGAGATTATTTTGTGTTTATATCACATTCCAACAGTCTGTTCCAGCATGTCCTGGACTGTGCTGAAAGGTACTGGAGTCTCTGGGGCAGAATCTCCCCGTATCTGCTAATCACACAAAGGAAGGAGAACTCAAATAATGTTAGTTGGCTTTTATTTCAGTCTGAACTAAAATATTCTTTTAAAAAAACCCAAACACAAAATTATGGATGGAATAGTTTTTCACAATCATCACCTGACTTGCTGTATCACATAACAGGAAGGGTAAGTAAGAGCCCAGACAACTGGAGAAAAGTTTTGCACCTTTATGAACTGCAGGGTGGGGGAAGAGGTAACAGTTCCTATGCTTCACATCCAGTTGGGAGGAGTATAACTAAATGCATGACCTGCATTTAGACACTGCAGCATGGCTTTATTAGGCTCTTAGCCTATAGGGCTTATTTCCAGCATTTACTAAGTGCTTCTTCTCAAATGCTACAGTCCTCACTGTAGCAATGGGACCAAATCCCTTAGTATCAGGATACCAGGCTCTAGTTGGCATTAAAAGATAAATTAAGTAAGAGAGGGGCTGCAGTAGAGCTGGCATAGCCCTGTGAGCTCACTTATAGTTAGTGGACAGTACTGGAAAGATGAGGACGGTTCTGATTTCTAAGGTCTGTTGGACAGTAAGTCACCACTGGTTGGACCAGAGCTGTGACACAGACTGGCTTTCAGTCTGAGAGGAAGAGAGAAAAGAAACGCAGATCATAAAGTCATGGGGAGAAACCTCAGGTCTGCTGTGAATGACTTTAGGAATCCAGACCCACATTGAGCTTGAATACTATCACATTCAGCTGCTTAGCAAAAGTAAGGCCTAGCCCAGCAGCTCAAGGGGTTTAAGAAAACATGATCTTTTAAACATTTTAAAAAGTATACACGTTCAATTTTTGTCGAGTATTTGAAATGATACACAACAGTGTGATACAGTGCCACTTACACTCTGGTGTAAGTGGGAGACACTTTGTTAGTGGAACTTGAGTAGAACCCAGGCCTTAAAGTTTGGGCAGAGAGGCCAGCTTCCCCTTCAAGTTTTCAGCAAGCTTGTCCATGAACTCAAAGGTGTTCAGGTAGTCAGAGCGTGTGACACTGAGGGGTGGAAACAAAACAAGACAGACATTAGTTGTAAAGCCACTCAAATGCTCAAAAGCAGGGGAAGACTGTTCAAAGAACTCGAAGTCTTGCCTCTAAAACCAACAGAATTATCTTACTCATCAGGCTGATGTTTTTGCCAAAAGGCTGCAGAGAAGAGGTAGCCAGGTGGTATTTTGCATTGAAGTAGGTCTCCGTCCTAATAAATGGACAGGGCAGGATCCGGCCAATGTGGCCAGCCTGTCGTAAGAGAAATCTTTGCAGTTCCTTCTCTATTTCTTTTCCCATGCACTTGGTACAATAGCAGAGCAACCTAGACTAAGCTACCTGGGGCAAAGAGGGTCTCATCTTCTGTTTGCACAGCACTGGGTACAGATGACCCCTGTTCTGTGACCAGACTCCAGCAGTTCTTCACTATACTAAAATAACGTTCCAGCAAATGCTATTCAGAAACACCAAATAAAACAGCCTTCTTCAAGCACAGCTGATTACTTCATACACTTACTTAGGTAGGCCTTTGATACAGGCAGCAAGGTCCTTTGTCATGAAGCCAGATTCGATGGTCTCAATGCAGACTTCTTCCAGAGCAACCGCGAAGTTCTTGAGGCTAGTGTTGTTGTCCAGCTTAGCTCTGTGAGCCAGTCCTCTTGTCCACGCGAAGATGGAGGCTGAAAGAGAACACTAGGTTACTCTGTCCTAGAACTCCCTGGACGTTGCTCTAAACTGTCATGTGGAACAGTAATTATTTTTTGATATTAATAAAACTGAAAACAGACAGAACATTTATTTTCATTTAGATATCCTTTGCATTTTCTAAAGAAAAGCAAACCCTAGAAAGTACTCACTGCCTCCACCAATCTCTGTGCATGCCATTTTGTCTTATTTTGTTCCTGCCCAAGTCAGAAAGAATGACCAGCAGTAGGACTCTGTGGTCACACAGAAAGTTGTCCTTATGATAGACGGGTGCAGTCTTCCTCCTGGTATTACATTACACTCTAGTCCCTGTGCAATCATAGAGGATTCTTTCCCTCATTTCCCATTCTAGGTGCAATTACACTTTAAGTATGTACATGGTTTGGAGCGTGGCTGGGTCTTTTGGAGTATCAGGAAGGGGAGTAAAATAAAAAACCAACCAACCTAAACCTTAAGGCCATTGTGGCTATAAACCCATTGTTTGCTGAACAGTGAGAGCATGTCTCAGGCTAGATTAGGTCTAGCTTATTGCTCATACTCACTCCATCCCAGCTTGTTTTTGCTCCAGGCTGCAGCTGTCTCCATGGAAGAAAAATGCATTATGAACTACCAGTTTCACCACTCAGTGGTGCAATTCTCTGCAGAAAGGATGCAGATGTTCTTGCTCAAACCTGTTCTTTCAAGTGTAGAGATCACTAAAGGGCAGTGAAAAGCAGCTCACCAATGGGGTTAGTGGAGGTTTCTTGGCCTTTCTGGTGCATGCGGTAGTGACGAGTAACTGTGCCGTGAGCAGCTTCTGCTTCAACAGTCTTTCCATCAGGACAGATCAGCACACTGGTCATCATCCCCAGAGAGCCATAGCCTACAGAATACACAGTTTAAAAAGTTCAGCGTCTCCTTTGGACAGCCCCCTTAAATTCCCCTTTGTCCCCATATTCTACAGTCCCCCTACATCCTCCCAGCCTTGATGTGAGAATACTCCTGAACAGCAGTGCTGCTGCTGCAACTAACTGGCTAGTCCTGACACATCAAATTAACAGCTTGTCTGAACAGAAAGTGCTGTTGAACCATGAGATATAGATACGCAGACATTCTGCACCATTTCAAGAAAATTAATATTCTCACCTCACTTGCTGGACAGATTTTTACTGAAAAGGTGCAGCATGAGAACAAAGAATCCTAAATAAGCAGTGTTGGGCTGCCAATTGCGATCTTCCCACAGGGTGATAGGAAACAAACCTACTTCGTATCAAGAGCATCTGCTTTAGCAAAACTGGACATTCACATCACTTCTAACACTTTCAGAGATCTGTGTCTTTGAAAGCTTCTTTGTTCAGTACTCCAACACCCATCCTTGTTCTGTGGGAGGCAGTTTACTGGCTTTACTTTAGAAAGAGCTTATTTTATGTAATAAAATAAGCCATACATCTTGCCCTTTGTGTTTCTGCATCCATATTTGTTTTGGCACCGGGCATCTTGGTTATATAGGATTTTGATCAAGTCTGTAAAGTTTAACCTATCAATCTCTGTCTTTACACCCGACAGGTAGCTTTAGGTCTTGAAGAGCACCTGCCAGTATGTGCACCACCAGTCAGCTTAACTCAAGCTGTCCGTGACAGAATCCCAGCTGCCTGGCTACCTTCCATCAGAACAGAAAGCCTATCAGTTATTATGTAAAGAAGTACAACTATGCAGTCTTCAGTCGATGGATTTTCTTGTAAAAGTGAAATCAGAAATTCTTTGCCTGCCAGGTATGTCCATGACCGGCCCCAGGTTTGAAATGTAAGTTCTGAGACCCAGCACCACCTCAAGACATGACATAAGATATGGCACAAGGTCACATGACACTGCTACTAAGTCTACTTCAGTGTAGCGCAGAAAACATCTCATACCTTGTGCAACAGAGTCAGACTGCACATCCCCATCATAGTTCTTGCAGGCCCAGACAAAGCCTCCTTCAGATTTCAGGGCCTGAGCAACCATGTCATCAATGAGCCTATGCTCATACCAGATTTTTTTGGCTTCAAACTGGGACTTGTATTCTCTGCAAAACAAAAACCAGAACACCTTGGCACATACATAAAAACAGGGATTGCATAATTTGTGCAAGTAATTGTGCATACTGAGGTGCACAGAGATAAGAGAGAGAAAAAAAAAATTTGCATCCACTTCACTCTTTTTTTCCCTCGCTTGCTTTGTTAGGACATTGCAAAGCTGCTTCAGAATCACAGAGGAGCCCACAGAGAAGCTGTGACTCTTTGTTAGGAGACATGAACACCACAGCCACATTTAGCAGAGCCTTAAACGTTGAGTACTGTGTCCTGCAGGACAAGAGACTGCGACAGGGAAACTGCACATACACCCCAAAGTGCTGCTGAGTGTCTGAAAATGCTGAATTAACTGTAGCAGCTCATGAGGATGGACAGGATGTTTCTGCTGCAGACTTATGCGTTGCAGTAGGAAGTATGCAACTATCCTAGTTACCTGTCATAGATCTCTTGGAAGATGTCTTTAAAACGGCCATCGTATCGTTTCAGGATGGTGTTCTTGGTACTCATGTAGAGGGGCCAGCCTTTAGACAGTGCCATTTGGAAGGAACTATGTGCAAAATCCTTGATAGACTGGTCAAGATTGTACATTCCCATGGCTACACCACCACAGCCTGTTAGTGGAGGAAAAACAGATAGGAATTGACTAGATTTAGTTTTGGTTAAGGATGTGACAGTCTCCCCATAGCATACTGTGGCAGGCAGACTGCCGTTATCCCCAGATGCCTTGATATAGCTCTCAATTTAAGGCTGGTTCTTTCAGGAGAAGATTTGCTTTGCACTATCAGCTCAAAGCTTCAGCAGCCCTGTGATGGATGGACAGGAAGGTGGTTTTGTTTTACAGCTACGTACATCTTAATACTGTGATCTAATACCTCTAAGAAGTTCCTTCCTAATCCAGCCTAAGCAGCAAAACTGTGACAGGAATGAGCATGCTTGAACTCCTACTAGCCAGATAAATAATAGAGTATTTTTCTATCAAAGCAGCAGGCAGCAGTTTGGAGCAGGGCTCTCAGTCAAAGCTAGAAATGGGTTTGCTCTCATCTTAAGTGCCTTGTACCTTCAGGCTTTGACTGCACTGCAGAACCGACTCCAGCAGTTAGCTGCTTTGCCTAGCTCAGGTAAACAAGTCCTCACATGAATTCCTGCATCTTTTCAGCACATGTGTTTGGCCTACCCTGCAGGTTTGTGTCATCTGCTCAGGCTAACTTCCAGCAGATTGTGGGAAGACCATGTCAGTCATCTGAGTGCAAGGGGAAGTCCTGAGAAGGCTCTGAGGAACTACCAACACTCACACGACTTAGACTATGTAATACAGATGTGTTAGCAGCCAGAATGGAAGTGCCTTAAACTTACAGCCCAGCTCACCTGGGGCAACGCAGCATTCAGATCATGGGAGAGGCTGATTGTGGGTGAAAGTAGGGTATAGGGCTTCATGAAAAATTCTGTCATCTTCAGAGCACAGCTCTTTGTGTTTCTCATGAAAAGTAGATACCATGTACTTAATTTTAAGCCCTGCAGTACCACCACCTCTCTAGTTTGTTGCACAGTACTTTTATTAGGGATCTTTGCTCTGGAAACACACCAGTTTTGGAGGTTTTTGTTGTGGTTTTTTTTTTAATGTATTTTTTATTTTTGAAAGTACCCTTTCCTAATATCCATTTGTCCCTACCTCCACATGCTTGTTATTATATGTACATGCATGCAGAATGAAGAGGGGAAGCCAAAGGATGTTTATCTGCTTGCCAAGACAGCAAGGTCATTTAAAGTTGATACTGGCAGGGAATGAAATTCCTGTTGTTACCAGTGAAAATAATACACATTGTCCCCCTGCCTCCCTTAGTGAGTCAAGGACAGAACAGGATTTGATCAGCTACAGAGACTGTGTCCTATGGAGCCATGATTTCATAGTTGCTGGATGACAGATACTAAGTTTTATTCAAATACGTATTTGCACATAGGTAAGAAAAACCTCTTGTTGCAATCATACAATCCTACTGCACACTAAAATCTTGATTCAGTGTCAAGGTTGAACATATGAGTATAACAATATGACAAGCTTTCCTTATGCATTGCAAAGATATACTGGCACAACAGTTATGTCGGGAGGGGAGTTGCCCCAGAGCAACAGCAGTAATCTGCCATCTTTGCACTTCCTTGCTTTCTGCTTGCTGATGCAATGCAGAGCAGTGAATCAGACTGGCATGTAACTGCCAGATGTCTCCAACACAGGCTCACCAGTCACCAACCAAATGAAAACAGATTAGGACTGGCAGCAAAGCACGTGAACTCCAGATGAAAGGCTGTACAACAAGAGATAACAGAGATTTAGGCTTCTGTGACCAAGAACGCCAGAGTAATCAAGTATTACAAAAGAGCTGTCATACGGCAGTCTTGGTACCTGTTTGCCATGCCAACTGCATAAAAACTAGGATTCTGTGGTTTACATGGATGTATTAGGTCTTTGTAGCTAGAAAAAAAAATTGCACACTCACATACATAAGTCACCATAAGGATTCAAATCCTGAACCCTTTGATCACTGATAGGCAAGAGAGATGACTTTAGGGGCAAGATTCAGGAAGACATCACAAGAGAAACACCCTGGGTTCCAGTAACATGTGTGTAATTGTTTTCATGCAGCAAAGCCCAGCAATATCAGGACTTCTCTTCCTAAGCCTAGCAATGTCTACAACCAGCACAGCAATATTGTTAGTAGGGACACCAATACCTTTGGGACTGCATCTGTTAAAACAGAGTCTACAGAGTCAGCAGCATCCTTGTCAAATCTCCTTTCCACTTTGCACAGTAAGTGTAAATTTTCATTTCTATTGAAAAACAGATTGCTTAATAAAGAAGGGCACAAACAGCAAATGTATATAAAGCCCAGTAAGACAAACTAAAACCAGAAAGAAATATACCCAAATTGTTCTCACATATATCTCCCCTTAGGTCAAGCCCTGTTTAGATAGAAAGTTTCCCTCTGAGCAAAAAAACACACACACTGTTGCCAGAATCATCATACAAGGAGCATGACATGTGGCCAGTCTGGTATGATTGTGTGTTTGATATGCCTTTTTGATCTCAGGAAGATTTCAAGTAACTTTCAGTATTTCCCAGATAAATGAAGGCAGCCCAGACCTTCTTCCCCTGTCTACCTCAAAGTCATATTTTGCCATCAAACAAATTTATCTAATTCTTCAAGATTGAATTGAACCAAAAATATCAGTTTTAATCACAACTTAGGGATAATACTTACTTTCAAAGTTATGGACCAGATATGTGACTGGTTTGCCTCCATCTGCTGGAGTGTAGGTCATCTCTACTTTTCCAGGTCCAGGTACCACAAAATCAGTTGCTCTGTACTGGTTAAAAAAAAAAAAAAAAAATCGTCATGGCTTTTTTTTTTTAATCAGGAGGACCAAACCATAAAAGTCAACTTGCATTTGGGAAGGTAGGGTGCAGAAAAGCATAAAGAGTTGTACCAAAAAACCCCATTGAACAGGTTCTGTTTACTCAGCCATGTGGTCATCAGATTATTTTACTAGATATTAGAAAGACAAGTGGTCAAGAGTCTGCCTCTTTCAGAAGAGATCTGCCTCTTTAAGGGAAAAAGCTTATAGATTCTTGGGCCCCATCAGTTGGCAGAGTATATATTTTTGCAGAGGCACTGAAGTTTTAAAGTGCAAAATATTCAGTGTTGCCTGTGAGTAGAAAGGCTCCTCTCCCTGCCTCAAAAAAAAAGCCGTTCATATCACACCTACTGATCTCATGAATAAGGGGGATCATACAGCACCTTAACAAAAGCCATTATTTCTATCCATCATACAACAACTGAAAGGCCAATTTGTAGTAAGAATTCTTTGAATTCTGTAAATGGGTATACATTTTGCTCCTCTGAGCTACATAGATTCAAAAGAAGAGCCAACATGTACTTCAAGTTTAAATAGTGTCTCACCTTCCCAACTGTCCTGAACAGTACTATTAGAAGTTACATTTCCTTGAAATTCATCATCCTCTTCCACGTAGTTTCCCTCCTATTGAGCAAATCGGTTCCCTGAGTTGTTCTGAAGTTACAAAAGTATCTTGCTCATATGTCCTTTACATGTTCTTGTATTATTTCTTTCACCTTAATCTCATACTTTGGCAGGGTTTCAATCCTCCCCTTTAATCCACTGTTTCCTATTATTATTTTGACCTTCTCAATTATTCAGTACTGTTAAGGATGTCGAACTCCATTCTTCTCTAGTGTTAGGGCTCTGCAATTATTTTCCTCTTGGAACTTTATTCTTTTACCTTCCCACTCCAGCTAACCTTATGATTTGCCCTCAGTTTGTGGGTTTACCCATCTATTTAAGCCTTCTAGAAGACTTTCCTTTTGTCATGTTTGGCTGCTTTACAATGTATCATTACCCATGGAGAACAGTATGGCTGATTCTTGTCCTCTGGGCTGCCCAAAGGCCACTACACTGAGTGCCATGCCAGAGCTTTCCATGGTCTTGTACTACCTCTGTCAGGAGAGCTCTGCAGGAGTGCTGTGCAAGTAAGTTTAAGAAGCAAATCACAGTTTAAAAAAATAAAGAAAACAAAACCATACCCACACACATAAGGCCACTTTGCCCACTTCTTTAAAAAAAAAAAAGAAACAACAAAAACACAACAAACCACTCAGATCCACTTTTGCTGCAAGCAACATTTGCCACCAAAAAGTCATTCTGAGAAGCAAGAAGATGGGCAATATAAAGGATATTTTCTAAAGACATTCTGCAGAGGTGAAGAAAAATAACTTAGAGGAGGTATACCCTGTGTTTAGGTACAGACCTACCTAATCCAAGCACAGACCCCTGAATGCTGTTTACATAGCTACACTGTCTAAGGAACAGAGGCATGAACCACGCTCTCCCACACTTCAGCAGGTGCTGTATAAAGTGTTAGCAAGGACCCACTCCCAGGTGGAGTGCAAGGAATAAAGCAGCAGCACAGCGATGTCTAAGTCTTTGTAGCTCTATACCAGTCAGGAGTAAGCTTGTTCAGATAAAAAGAGGGGTAAGCACTGAAGTGACTCACTTGATCTCCATAAGCGTGACGGCCAATGACAATGGGTTTCACCCATCCAGACACAAGCCGGGGAATGTTCTTGCAGATAATAGCCTCCCTGAAGACAGTGCCACCTAGGATGTTTCTAATTGTCCCATTGGGAGACTTCCACATCTGCTTCAACTTGAACTCCTCCACTCTTTTCTCATCAGGAGTGATGGTCGCACACTTTATGCCAACGTTGTATTTCTTTATGGCTTCAGCAGCTTCCACAGTTACTTTATCATTTGTAGCATCACGATGCTCAATACCCAGGTCATAGCTGTAACAAACCCACAAAGGCGTTCAGAACTTCCCAGGACATTTGTTCGTGTCCAACAGGAAAGAAACCAGACCCTATATGTGTCTGTGAGTGTAGTTCCAGCACTCTGCCGTAACTTAAGTTATCCCTCTTCCAGTGCAAATGCAACTGGAGTAGAAGAAAACATAGGCTCATACACTGATAATTCTGCTGCTGGTAGGAGGCTGGAGAAAGGACAGCTTCAGTTTATGGCTGAGGCCCTCTGCCAACATGGACGTGGCCAGTATCTCCTCTGCCTTCCCTTCTGAGCTTCCTGGCAATGGAAGGTTTCAGTCTGGGATTCTAACAGTATGGAGCAGCACAATCCCCAGACGAATACAGGCCTTTATTTCCAACCTCTTGTGCTGAGGGTTATGGCTTCCTTCATATACTGAGTATATGAAGCTACACTAGGCTTCAAATCAAAAACTGCTTTGACAATGGACCCACAATCCTGCTCTGCCAGCAAAACTCCCAATATTCCCCTCAAACAGTCAGAGGAAGCATGTTTCCCACACTCACTGTTTTAATAGCTTTTGAAGAACAACGGGTGCCCAGTGTGGGACAGCCCTGAAGCATAGCCAGCTGTACATGAATCTAACCATTGTGCTGCCTCAGCCAGGGGTCTGCTTTCCCTCCTCCCACCCCTCTTTGAAAAGGGATGTTCTCAAGACTGTGTGCATGTATTATGCTGCTGGTTCCTGTTTGCTTAGTTCTCAACACCAGCAAGCAGAAAGCCTGATGTAGGTGGCATACAAATGACTCCAGGAGCAGGGGAAGAGGTCAGACTTGTGGGTTTAATAATGGCAGCTACTGTTGAAGGCCTCCATCCACATGTCTGGAAGCAATGCAGTTGGATACTTCTCTAATAATTATAGCTCAGTGACTAGAAAAGGAAGAGATTATTTGTTCTGCTTGACCAGACGCTGTAGATAACATGTCCCTTTTGCCATACCAGCTGCTACTATTTGTTTTTTCCAGAAGGGAGAGTAAGAGCACAGCCTAGGCTTGAGCAGCAGTTAGCTCACACTGCCAGTAGCAGAGCTCAAGCTCACAGACATCAGGGCACGCTCTGTGCCCTACAACCACCCTTTTGCCCTAGGGGTAGATCTTCAAACAGATGGCAAGAAGCCATAAACCTGCTCAGAGTCCACAGATGCCAGGCTTCAAGTCAGGGAGTGGCTCAAACACCCCATGTTTCTAATTGTTAAGGCTGCAGGAAGCCATGAAGACTGCTCAGGTGCTGGAAAGCCAAGACAGAGGAGATAAAAATGCAGACCATGCCTGTGAGAGACCTTCTTAGAGGCACAGTACAGGAAAAAGCTAACTCACAATTAAACATTTACCGCTTATTGCGGTGAGGACCCCCAGAAGGGCTGCCAACAGACTTTGACAAAATACCTTCGCCACGAGCCCATGTTTTCCAGAGTACTTAGTGAGGTTGGCCCTTCGGTAAGTTGACCAGGGAAGTCTGCTGGGAACTTTACCAGTATAAAAAGGACTAGTTAGCCTCTCTGCACTAGTGCAGGAGGAGCTATAAGGCTCTCAGTGCTAAGTGAAACATTATCAATGCCTAATAACACATGCAAATTGCAGTACAAAGTGGCTGTGTGTCATAAAGAGCCATTACCTGTGCAAATCCAGATCTACATAAGGAAAAATCAGCTTTTCTTTAATCAGTTCCCAGATGACCCGTGTCATTTCATCTCCTTGCATCTCCACAACAGAGCCTCCATGGATTTTTTTAGACATCTTGAGCTGCAATAGACATAAAAAAAACCCAATCCAAGTTAAAAAACTGCCAACACACATCACCAATACATGTATCCCGCATTTCTACAACATGATTAGAAGAGAGTTACTAACGTAGCATACAGGAGCTCTCCTAAAAGTTTTGAAAAGAACCACAGTTTATCCCTAGTTTCATGCTAACTGGTATTTTTCTTAAAGCCTCAGCTTGTAGGGAGATCTATCCGAGGATAAAAATCAAGGTTAATATCTGAGATTTAAGGGTACATGTTCTAAGAGCATGAGCTTTAATTATAGCTGTACAAAAGAATTTGAAAGCATGACCAAACTCTTCCCCCAAATTCCACAGAAATAGGTGAGCGTTGTTTATTTCCAGATTTCATGAGTTCTAGTCCAGTTGCCTGCTTCTTCCCCTTTTTCTGAAAAACAGGGGTTAATGGACATTATTTTAATGACAGCTCATATTGCTGGCACTACTAAGATCAATACATTGTCAGCTTCTTTATTAGCTTCCTTCCCCAGGAAGGAAGGAAACAGGTACAGAAATCCAAGGGCCACATCAAGAGTACTTTCTCCTGGCAAGCTTTATTTCAGCTGTTAAAATAAATACTGGACAGATTTGTTTTCTGTGTAGAACACAGGTTTCCCAAGATATTTGTTCACAAAGCCTCAAAAAATAAACTTGAACTCTGCCCTTCTATTTGCACTTTGTTCCTTGACAGAAGCCAACCCCACAAGCCACTGAACTGTTCTAACACAGTGCCCTGCTTTCTAACAGACACAGTTTCTTGGTTCTCAGCTCTGATTATGCAAGAGCTATGACTTGGCAAGTTCCTCCTCCCAAGACAGCCCTGTTCTTGTATGCAGCTGTTGGGATACTACAGTGAGATACCAAGCCCTTGTGCCTGAGGTTGCAGTCTCACAGATAGAGAGGTCCATGAATGGCTTTATCCAGAACAAGGGGTCCTACTGAACACAGAGCCTATTCATCTAGAAGAAGTTATTCAGCGGTGTAAGGTCTGCGATGCAAGCATCCCAGGTTACAAACACATGAGGAAACTGCTCCCCGGTTCAATTTTTTACTTTACTTTTTAAGTTAAACTAATTTGTGCTGTATTTCCAAAATCAAATCCATTAAACATTTTTAGTCTGGGAAGAGAACAAACTTTCTAAGCTATGTTCTAAGCACTGCATCAAGCTTTTCTAAACTTTTTAAAGAGCAAAAAATTAAAAAAAAATTAACTTGTGAGTTACTGACACTCTTTTTACTATAAGCGCATAAACTTGAAAAATTAACTAGTCTGAGGTACTCCTATCCCAAAGAAAGATAGTATCTTGGCTTGTATTAGGCCTCTCTAGTCCTCATGGAAAACTTTAACTTCATATGACCACAGTCTGCCTGAACTCAGTTAGTTTATGCAAGTATTCTGGGCCCAATTTTCAATTGTGACTATCTAAATAAGGACTGTATCATACTGCCGTGGCCTAGGCACAGGATTACTATCCAGGAGACTTTAGTTTTGCTTTTGGCACTTACACAGCTGAAACAGTCTGATTCATTTAAGCCAAAATGTACACAAACACCCACCCACCATCACTTGTTTTGTGGTTGGGCCCTGCTTAAATAAGACAAATCGGACTATGTCAGTCGTAGCAATAGGTTTTGCAAAGCTGGCTTCAGACCTATATGGTGCTGCTGTCACAAGGTACATCTGCACCAATATATGTAAACTCTGACAGCATCCTTCATGTTTATTTGATCATGGCCCCAGTTCTTTTCCCCTCCTCAAACACTGATGTCCCCAGTTTCTCCATGTACAGGGACACTACTGCAGTAGCATCCCTCTTCTGTTCACCAGTCAACATGCCAAGAATTTCCTCTAGCAAGCACATCTTCCCTAGAGTTCAACTCTTTCTATCACTCCTCCCCTTTGACTATATACTCTCCAGAGCTGCCAAAAGTCAGCAAGGTCTTTCCCTCACAGCAACCCTTCTTTAAATACACTTAACCCAGGCATTTAGCCAAGGCAGCTTAGAAGAAACTTTGTGAATTTCCAAATACTCCTTGGTCCTCAGGAAGGACTCAAGGCCTACAGTCAATAATTAACTATTGCAACAACTCCTTAATTCAGATTTACAGAAGATCCCTTCAGACCGGGCATGCTCCCAGGGAGAGCAGCACAGATCGTTGTCTCTAAACGAGATTTTCTTGCCTGCGCTTGTTTTTTGGCTGCATTGCCCTCCATCCACGCCCGCAGCCCATCCCTGACAAGGCGATACAGGCCGGCTCTTCGGCCACAGGTAGGTTTTGCCCACCAGGCC